CACACACACACACACACACACACACACACACACACACACACACACACGACAGAGAAGGTTTTAAGTCACTAAATACCACAAGAGTGACGAACTGTGGGGTCCTGATCTCTGTCAAAGGATGCTAAGCGGGCTGTACCTCCACGCGGTGCATCCTGGGTAGTGCTAAAGCAGCCCGCAAATTTTATTTCACTTTAGTTGTGTATTAAAACTCATAAAAACCATCTTATGTTTCAATTTTGACAAAAAAATTCGAAGGTAAAGCAATTTCAAATTTTAACATAAAAATGGCGATAACTCGAAAACAGCGCATTTTTGGGCCTATATTTGTACCAACTTTCTTTCTTGTTTTTGGTTCCCCTTTCATCTCTCGAGCGGATGACCTCGACTTACGGGACACCCTGTATATACAAAGTGAGTTTTTTAAATTGACACACCTAAATATTTCAAAACCTGTAAGTTTTAAAAAAAAATTTTTAGATCAAAGTTGTTTGGTTCTGTGAGGAAAAGAAGATAGGAATATTAGTTAGACCGTGGATTGAAAAGAGAATACTTTACGAAACATTTCATATTTTATATTACAAATATGACAAAATTTAAAATATTTCAAGAAATTCTTAACAAAAGAAAGCTTTATTGTAGTGTTTTGAAAACGTTTCAACCAAGGCTACAAGAATATGCAATAAAAAATAGAGGCTTTAATTTAAAAAATTCAATGTGATCTTGATATGACCTTAACGATGCTACTCAAGGTCTAACTAATATTCCTATCTTCTTTCCCCCTTAGAACCAAACAACTTTTGTCAAAAACGTTTTCTTCTAAAACTTATGGGTTTTGAGATATTTAAGTGTCAATTTAAAAAATTCACCCTGTACATAATTCGCTCATTTGATGCAACAGTGATATAACTCAAAAATTGTGATTTTTCGGGAAACAATTTAAAGTTCTGAATAAAAATTGCAAATAAGTAACAAACAACTGCAAATAAGTCACTCATTTTGCAACTTTTATGATATTCTCACTACAACGACAAAGTGACAACTGAGATAAGTAGTATTGCAACCAACATAATTCACTACATGATATAGCACGATAGCGAATAACTGTTCCTTCGTGGTGTGTTTGTGAGGCTCAAGCATCGTCGACTTAACTCTAAATAGTACATGCAATAATCTTTTTCTCTGTATAAATAATTCAAAAAGGGCGATTTTTGAGTTATGTTACTGTTGCAGCAAATAAGCGATATATGTATGTAATATATATATGTGTGTGCGTGTGCGTGTGCGTGTGCGTGTGCGTGTGCGTGTGCGTGTG